ATCACTAGGGTCTGCTTACAACTGTTCCTCCTCCTTTGTATTTCCATTCTTGATAGTTCTACCTAGGTTGCCCTTTCTGTTAGTCTGCATGTGTCTGTCTATATGAGATTATTTTCATTAATAAATTTAGCATTCACCATGTCAATCACTTCTAACCTCCGAGGCTCTTGTGATAGTTAGGTGCCATCAGGTCAGCTACAACTCATAGGGACCCTATGAACAGCAGATCTGAACTTTGTTTTATCAGGTGCTATCCTCACCAACCCCAATATGCTCCAGCCTACTGTCAAAGTCACAAGGTCAACCATCTTGTTGAGAGGTTTCCTCTCTTTCTCTGTCCCTCCACCTTTTCCAGTATGACGTCTCTCTCCAAGAATTGGTTCCTCCAAAGAACATACCTTAAGTATGTGAGACAAGGTTTCGCCATCCTTACCTCTAACTAAGTAGCACCCTGGTTGCAATCTCTCCAAGACAGATTTATTTATTATTTTGGCAGTCCATGGAATATTCAGTACTCTAAGCCACAATTCAAAGATATTGATTCTTCTGTCATCCTCATTCATTGTCCAGCTTTCAGATGCATAGGAAACAATTGAAAAAAAAACATAGTTTGGGTCGCACACACCTTATTCTTCAAACTGATATTCTTACTCCTTAGTATTTTGGAGAAGTCCTTCACAAGATATTTTTTCTCAATATAACAAGTGTTTTTATTTCTTGACTGCTGTTACCATTTATGTTTCTTGTGGATTCAAGTAAAATTAAGTAATTTTTCATTTCAATCTTTTATCCATCTTCATGTTGTTGCCTACTGGTTCAATGGTGAAGATTTTTGTTTTCTTGATGTTGAGATGTATCCATATTGAAGAGTATAGTCTTTCATCTTTGGCACCACGAGCAGCTTCTGCTCTTTAGGCTTTGTTCTTATTTTTTTGAAGGGTTTTTTGGGGAGTGGGATTGGGGGGTGGTTACACTGTTATTTGTAAATCTAGGAGTACCAGAGGAATGTCTATCTGTGCTTCATTGATTATGCAAAGGCGTTTGACTGTGTGGACCATAACAAACTGTGGCAGACTCTGAGAAGAATGAGAATCCCAGAACACTTGATCGTTCTAATGCGAAATCTATACTTGAACCAAGAGGCAGTCGTCAGAACAGAGCAAGAAAATACTGCATGGTTCAAAATTGGGAAAGGTGTACATCAGGGATGTGTTCTATCTCCATACCTTTTCAACCTGTATGCAGAACAGATCATCCGGGAGGCTGGGCTCTATGAGGAGAAATGCTGCATCAGGATTGGTGAAAGATCTATCAATAATCTGCGTTATGCAGATGACACAACCCTGCTTGCTGAAAGTGAGGAAGACCTGAAGTGCTTGCTGCTGAGGGTCAAGAACTGCAGCCTCCAACATGGACTGAGGCTCAATGTCAAGAAGACCAAGATTCGCACACTGGACCAATTGGTAGCATTAGGATGGATGGTGAAGAGATTGAGATTGTTCACAGCTTTAGTCTGCTTGGCTCCACAATCAACAGTCTTGGCACCAGCAGCCAGGAAATTAAAAGACGCATTGTGATGGGAACGTCTGCTGTTAGGGACCTCTCTAAAGTACTGAAGAGCAACAGTGTCTCTCTGGAGATTAAGGTGCATCTGATACAGGCCATGGTCTTTGCAATCACTTGTTATGCATCACAGAGTTGGACAATGACTAAGGAGGATAGAAGGAAAATTGATGCCTTTGAGTTTTGGTGTTGGAGAAGAATATTGAGGGTACCATGGACTGCTAAGAAAACAAACAGATTCATCCTGGAAAAGGTTAAACCAGGCTACTCCTTGGAGGCAAGGATTCTGAGGCTTCGTCTGACATACTTTGGTCATGTTGTAAGGAGAGACTGTTCCTTGGAGAAGGACACCATGCTTGGGAGAGTGGAGGGCAGACTCAGGAGGGGAAGGCCCTCTAGGAGATGGATTGATTCTAAGAGATTGATGGTGACTGGGCTAATCTGGATGAGTGTGTCAGAGATAGTGAGATTGGTACAGGAGAGAACAGAGTTTAGGGCTGTTATATATAGGGTCGCTATGAGTCGCAAATGACTCTACGGCACATAACAACAACAACAGGGATTATCAAAAGTTTCACACTTAGCTCTCCAAATCCCAAAAGTAAATTGATATTTCAGGTAGATGAGAATGGATAGTGCCACTCTTCTAGCATGAAAAGATATATGAATGAGCAGGGAAGAGAAATTGGTTTTAGGAGCCTGGGGTCATGAGGACAACTGACTTGTTCACTTAATTTGGCCCCAAGTGAGGGCTAGGGCTGAGTGAGGAGACCAATTGGTCTGAGACACAGGGAGAAGTGCGGACACCTGAGCTTGATGCCCATTTGAACTTGGCCACATACGGCTGGGGACGAGTTGAACAGATCCAGTGAAATAATGATACATGCTGTGAGCTAATGTAGATGGTTGCAACCTGCTAACTTGCTCTGGAGTGGACTTTTCTTGTGGATGCAAACACTAAAAGTTTCCAAGTTGAACTGAGGATTCATCAGCAAAAGGAATATGTTGTTCCCTCACAGTACTGATTTGATAGGGATGAGCAAATAAAAAATTGGCTATGTAAAAGGGCGATATTAAGGCATGAGGCATGAAGTAGCTGGCTTACATGCTTTTATGAACATCATTATTAAATGATTAAAATGTGATAAAAACCTCATAACACATATGAACAAAATATAATGTAAATGAAAGATTATACAAAACACAATGTACATGCATGAAGCACAATGAATATGAATGATAAAAATATTAATTTTTTAAAAAGAATGGATATGTAAGCAAATGACATTTTTTTTTCCAAGAAGTCATCATCCATCAGAGGCAGGAGCTTGGGTTTAGGGACGCACTGGACAGTGTCTAGTTTTATCCCTTACGTTAGCCTGTTTCTTCAGGTACTTGCTTCCTAGTTCCTCTTGTACAATGGAATCAGATTCTCTGAAGTTATGGTTGGGTTGTAGTCTTAAAACCATTCATATCCATCAAACAACATTGTAGTTTCAAGTTACCAAGGAAAATCAGTCGTAACATCATGTATTTATAGAATATTACCCTAAATCCTAAGCCCAAATCCAGGTCTGATTCATCCTGAGTCACTAATCTCAAAGAGGACGCGAACAGATACTTTAGTTAGCTAATTTGGACATATGAACCAAAACCAGCCCATTACTGATGACATAGCTTGTTACAGAGAACTCCATCATCAATTTTTCTTGGCTGTAATCTCTGTGATGTTGATAAGCAAGACTGTCTTTCGTGGCATCATTAGATTGATTGAAACCACCAGCTTTCAGATTATTAACCAAGAACCAGCTGCACTGCCCCAGGACCTGTTGAATATCAAGGTATTATAAGCACTGCTAAAAACAGTATCCTTTTAACTAGAAGTTTAGTTGTTACCAGGTATGGTATGTGAATGTTATAAGTAGGAGCATTCCTAACATCTAGTTATGCCTTCATTACAATAGGGCAGCAAGTATGCTTCTGTTTACCAACATCCAAAGAAATCAGGAATAGCAAGAATCACCTTCGACTTATACAAGCTGAATCCCAAAGACTTCATTGGCTGCCTCAATGTGAAAGCCACCATGTATGAGATGTATTCTGTGTCATATGACATCCGGTGCACCAGTGCCAAGGCTCTGCTGAGGTAAGGGGTTTCACAGGGCCAACCACATGGACTTTAAGACTGTGCAAGGTTATAGAGCAGCTCACACCTTTGCTCTCATGCGCAATTTTATGTCATGATAGAATAGTTTATACCACAAACTTCTATCAAAAACAAGTCTTCTCTTGAGCCAAAATATAATGACTACTACACACTAAATGGAAATAAAAACCACACAATAAATATAAGAGAAGAATCAAATTTCTTAGAACTGTAGCTGTACATTTTAAAGCATTAACTGTGAGCAGCAGCAGTTAAATAAAGCTGGACCACAAATAACCCAGCCTCGTCTGTAGGCAGTCAGAAAGTGCCCTGCCTCATCTGTAGGCAGACATGACTGGCTTCGGCTGTAGACAGTCATGAAGTACCTCGCTTCATTTGCAGGCACTCATCAAGTACCCATCCTTGTCTACAGGCAGTCATGAAGTACGTGGCCTCATCGGCAGGCAGTTATGAAGTGCTTGGCCTCGTCTGTAGGCAATCATGAAATACCTGGCCTCATCAACAGGCAGTCACACACACCTGGATGAACTCTTCATGTATGTTTTCAGCAGTGCTGTTAACTTGCTCTTGTACTAATGTGGCTTCAACATATTCCTTCTTCACACTGCACCACAACACTGCCACCCTCCAGCGCTAGTGCCAGGCTTTTCAGGGCATCACTAGGAGCCTGTAGAAAACAACTCCCAGTTTGTACCCTAGATTCATATGAGTAATCTGGGGTGTTGAGAGGCTTCCTCGAGCCCTGGTGCAGAACTAGGCTGAAAAGTCCCTGCCACAGAGTCCTCAGCAGGACAACCTGCTCTAGGAGACCCTGACTTTGCCCTTGAACAACCATCTGGGTAGGTGACTGTTGGTAGGATACTCAACTTCTCTGAGCTTTAATTTCATCATCTTTGACATTAGAAGGTTGCTTCCAAATTCTTCATAGTTGGATTGGCTTTAAATAAAGTTCTTTATTAAATCCAGTTCTTTAATAAATCCAGTCTCATCTCTCTAAAGAATTTACTATCTGTTGTGGGAATGGATAGAAGGGTAGAAGCTGGCAGCACAAGATGAGTTTTGATGGTTCTATAGAAAAAGTAACCTCAATATTCCAGCTCTTTGTAAATGCCTTTAGGCAGTACTTGCCTGAAAACGCTTGTCTTTGAGGGCACCATTTGAACTTTGAGGGCACGTTTCGGCCTCGGCTGTCCCCAAAGGGACAGACCGTCTATTCCCTGACTTGGTCGTTGTTGTTAGATGCTATCTGTCTATCAGCTCCAACTCACAGCACTTCTATATGCAAGAGAACTAAGCCCTGTGCACTCCTGCACCAGCGTCAATCTCAGCTGTGCTCATTTTTGCTGTCACTGTGTCAATCTAATTGAAGATTTTCCTCTCTTTTGCTAATCCTCTGCTTTCCAAGCAGGATGTCCTTTTTCAGGCATTGGTCCCTCTTGATAACATGCCTAAAGAATATGAGACTAAATCTCACAATCCTTGCTTCCAAGGGCATTCTGGCTGCATTTCTCCCAAGATAGATTTGTTTGCTCTTTTGATAGCCAATAGTATATATACTTCACACTAACACCACAATTCAAAGGCATAATTCTTCTTTCCATTTCCTTATTTGTTCTCCAACTCTGCATGCATATGAAGCAATTGAAAATACCATGGCTTGTGGCAGGGACACCTTAGTCTCAAAAGTGGCATCTTTGCTCACTAACACTTCAAAGAGAGCCCTTGGCAGCAGATTTGCCCTGGATGATTGAGGCTGCTCTATTATGCTCTGCAGTCTGGCTTCTGTATAGCCTTCATCCTCTACTGATAGCATTAGTGACTGACACTTAGACAGCAGGTGCTGACATCGTCTTTAAATCTTGATTATTGTTGCAGAAGTGGAAGAAAATAAGTATTATTGTTAGATTTTTTTAAGTATGACATATGTTACAAGAATTTAGATAAGCTTAATGAAGAATGTAAGCCTCACCCAAGACTTTGACTTGTCATCTTTCTTGAAAGAGTTCAAGAAATTCAGTCGATGAACAGCCACAGAATTTACTGAGGGTCCAAAATGGAGGTAATGCCCACAGAGGCACAGACGACAGGCACTATTGGGAGTGGACAGCATGGCCCACAGTCTCGTGCCAGGCACTTCAGTGCTCAGAGTGGATATCAGCTGTGGCTTACCTACTGGCTGCCCCATTACTAGTTACATGCGATTAAATCTTTTTTTAAAAACAGACTAAAATCTTTCCTTTCAGACTAAGGAGAGAGTAAGAATTTGAGTTAAAGCTTTTTTAAAGGTGGCAAACAAGTTTAGATGAAAAGACATGTTTACATTTTCTCTCACAGAGGGTACAGTTTGAAGGACCCTCATTCTCATTCTTACGGCCACCAAGTTGATTCCAGCTCAGAGCGACCCTCCTCCAGGTTTCCAGGCTGTAAGCCTTAACTGGAGGAGACTGTCTTTCTTTGGAGGAGTCACTGGTAGTTCAAACTTCCAGAGACAACTGATATTCTGATTAACTAACTAACTGAACAACACGACACAGACTGCACCCCAGAGCTTAACATACTGGGTTATGGGATCAGAATTCCAACATTCCTTTAGCCTGACTTTTTTCACATCTACTTTATTGATTTCAGTAACAAGCTTCACTCAACTAATAAGGCTGCTATTATAACCAAGCAGCCGAAGAACTTGACACAGTATATACATTTGAGCAGTAGTGGATCATCAGAGCTCCAGGTTGATGAATAGCCAGGCTAGATTTGTGTCTGTTAGAAACCATGCTACTCAAAGGCTGACACTAGAGCAGCAGGGTCATTTGGGATCTGGTGGCCTAGAGGTAAGGAGATGTACTGCCATCCCAAAACCCATGGTTCGAAACCACCAGCTTTTCCTTGGTAGAAGGGTGGCCAGTCTCTTTCCATGCTACTTACTGCCTCTGAAAACCTGATGAAGGACCAGCTTTGGGTCGTTTTCAAATAATGGTCCATGACAGCAACAATGAGTCAGGGAGCTCTGGTAGACTAGTCTGAGGGCAGTTTTGGCAATGTGTACTCCATGGTAAATGGGCAGCCCCCTCTGATTCACAGCCTTCGAAACTCCCTGGTTGCAACTGGATGGCAATGAGTTGAATGAGTGAATTGGCACCTTAGCCAGATCCCAAGCAGCCTGCGTGCCATGAGAACATTAAAATGGTGCTTGTCTGGAGTCTGCAGCTCTGTGAGCAGCTTTGTATTTGTATTCAGAGAGGACAGTGGGAGCAGAGCTCAACCTTGGTCTGTCTGATCATTCGTCTCCTTGTTTCCTCCCAGGAGTGTGCTGCGATTCCTGTCCTACACTGCCCAGGTGACTGGACAGTTTCTCATCTACACTGGCTCCTACGTGCTGCGAATGCTAGGGGACCCTGATGATTCCCCAGCTCCAAGATCACACTGCAGGGGAAAGCCCATGTGAGGATGATGGGTGGGGAGCACAAATGGCATTACCTCCCAATTGTCCACATTCAAACAACAAATTCTGAAAATGCTTACATTCTTAGCCATGAGCCTGTGTGCAGGCTGCTAGCCTTCTGCTCAGGACTGACACCCAGATGAAAAAAAAAGGGGGCTTCTCCTGTCATTTGAAATGAAAACTTTCAGCAGGGAACCTGGAAGAGGGGGAAGCTGGGGAGCGAAGTCAGAAAGTAGAAGGAACATTGTGGAGTGGCTAGAAGCCATAAAGTAGTCACAAGAATTATTCTTAATCGCACACAATTTCCTTGTGTTTCTTTCATTTTTCCAAAAGAGCAAATAATACTTTTATGTATGCTTTTAAACTATAAACATTCTGTTAACATATAACTTTTGAGACACTTTTAAGTCTCCACTTGGTAACAGAAAAATAAAGGGCTATCAAAAGTGAATGTGTATGTGTGTGGTTTTGTTTTGTTCTTTAATGTGGGTCCTTTATAAGTCGAAAGTGTAAGAAGCCGAGTTTTTGGAGGTCTTCAGGAAGCATTCCTAGTTCACTCACTCATTCGTTCTCTCTCTTTCATGTCTGCCTGTGTAATATATTATTTATTTTTTCCCTTTAATACTTGATAAACTTCACCAGCGAAACAGTTTGGTGTTGATGTTTCCTTTATGGAAAGGTTTTATTTTTTTTCATTTTGACAAATTTTCTTTTAACAGGGCAAGGAGTTGCACTGCCAACTCAAAGGCAGGTGGTTTGAATTTACCAGCTGCTCTTCAGGAGAAAGATGAGCAATGTCCCATGATTTTACAGTCTCTGAAGGAGGGTTGGCTATGACTTGATTCTGACGAGATAGTGATAGCAATGAGTTTGAATTTTGAGTGTAACAATCATTTTTACCCAATAACCACACCTCTTTTGCCATCTTTCTGACACCTGATAACAACTAATTTTGTCTCCATGTGTGTTTGCCTGTTCTATATGTTTCATGTAAATGGTAGCATACAGCAGTTGTCCTTTTGCCTGATATATATCATTTGGCACTATGTTGGCAAGATATCTGTGTGGCAGAATATATCAGAACTTCATTTCTCTTTATAGCTGAATAGTATGAAGCGTTCATTTACCTGCTGATCAGTCCCTACCTTTTGAGTAACACTACTGTAAAAATTAGTGTACATGTGTCTGTTTTAGGCAATGATCTCAATTCTTTTTAGTTTATACTTAGTAATAGAATTGTTAGGTCATAGGATAATCCTCTATTAGCTTTTTAAGGCATCACTGAACTTTTCCACAGTGGCTGTACCATTGTACGTTCCCATCAGCATGGGATGAGGCTTTGAATTTTTTTCACATCATTGCCAGCATTTAATTTCCTTTTCAAAATAATAGGTATTAATTATTATCTCAGTGTGGTTTTAATATCAAAGCACACTTTCAGCCTTTTTCAAATAAACAAGAAGCCTGCTGGAAAAGGAGGCACAGTACTAGTGAGTGGCACCTTAGGTAGCAGCACCTTAGGTTCTTGATGCTGCCTGCTCTCACTCAGGACCTTTGGTTGGAGGGAGATAAACCCTACCTCAGCTGCTTAAGGTAAGAGTTGTCACGCTGGTTTCTGTAACTGAGCAACCTGTTTCAGGCATGGCTGGGCACGTGCCCTTGAAACTGGAAACATCTGAAAAGATTCATGAAGGCTTGGCCATTGTAAGGAAAGCCTCAGTCCATCACTTCATTAGATTAACCTCCAGACCCAAACCTGCCACCATCGGATTTATCGGTTTTCAGTGACCCTCTATCAGGTATCCGGGGCTTTAAATCTTAACAAGAGTGCATTGGCTCATTTCTATCCTGCAGTGATGGGTAGATTTGAACCAGTGACCTTTCTGTTTGCCTGGCACATAACTCATTATGACACTAGGGTTCCTGGCCATATAAAAGTTATTGTTATGTGCCATCAAGTCACAGATCCATAGGGACCCTATGTACAGCTTCTCTGAACCCTGCCCTGTCCTGAGACAGTCCCACTGACTCCAACACACCTACCCCCATTGCCCCAGTTATATAAAAGTGCCTAAGTAGGGAGCTCTGATGGAGTAGTGGCAAAAATCTGTATTGCAATCCTGAAAGTGTGTGGTTCGAATCTACCAGATGCTCCCCTGGAGAAGGAGGGGCCATTTCCTCCTGTGCCTGGAAGATCTGATTCAGTGGTACACAACAAGAAAAGGAAAAACAAAAAAGTACCTAAGTAAAACAGAGAAGACAATGCTCCAGGACATTGTTGTCTGATTTACATTAAAGGTTGGAGACTTCAAACTACCTGTGACTGAGTCCATGCTCGCCACCATGGAGCTGGTAAACACCAGAACCACAGGCATGTGGTCCGCTCCCTGCTTCTCTTGTTTCACCGTTGTCCACTGACTCACCAACTGCCCCTGAGTCTGACTCGCCCACAGCTGACCCTCCAGTGGATTTCTGACTGTGTATCTCACAGGACGGGACTGTCCATCTGTGTGCCTTGTAGGTGTAGGAGGAATGTCAAGAATGTAAAAAAAAAAGAATGTCGCAGTTGCCCCCAAGACTTCTTGAGAAACCTGATGACCTCTAATACCAGCCAAATGAGACAACAGATTCTGATAAGGCTGTGGGCCTGATCACCAAAGCCCAAACCCAAGTTAGTAACAGTCCCAAAACCCAAGCAAACTTATCATCTTCCCTAGTCCCCCCTAGAGCCCCTATAAAAAGTGGCCACCCTGGACCACCCTCATGCCATTTTGACCTTCTCTGCTCGTGGTCACTTGGCATCCCTCTCAGACCATGCAGTAAAGGCCTATTTGTTTCTTGAGACCAGTTTCTTTCTCTCTCGCAGATTATCCGAGAGGCTGGGCTCTATGAGGAGAATTGTGGCATCAGGATTGGTGGAAGGTCTATTAACAATCTCCGTTATGCAGATGACACAACAACCCTGCTTGCTGAAACTGAGGAGGACCTCATGCACTTGCTGCGAAGGGTCAAGGACTGCAGCCTTCAGTATGGACTGAGGCTCAATGTCAAGAAGACAAAGATTCTCACCACTGGACCAATTGGCAGCATCAGGATGGATGGCGAAGAGATTGAGATTGTTCACAGCTTCAGTTTGCTCGGCTCCACAGTCAACACTCTTGGCACCAGCAGTCAGGAAATCAAAAAGCGTATCACGATGGGAAAGTGTGCTGTTAGGGACCTCTCTAAAGTACTCAGGAGCAACAGTGTCTCTCTGGAGACTAAGGTGCGCCTGATACAGGCCATGGTCTTTGCAATCGCTTGTTATGCATCAGAGAGTTGGACAGTGACTAGGGAGGACAGAAGGAGAGTGGATGCTTTTGAGCTGTGGTGCTGGAGAAGGGTACTGAATGTACCGTGGACTGCCAGGAAAACAAACAGATTTATCTTGGAGAGGATAAAACCAAGCTACTCCTTGGAGGCAAGGATTCTGGGGTTTCGTCTGACATACTTTGGACATGTTGCCAGGAGGGACGGGTCCTTGGAGAGGGACATCATGCTTGGGAGGGTTGAGGGACAACGCAGGAGGGGAAGACCCTCTATGAGATGGATTGATTCGGTGACTGGGGTAATCGGAATGGGTGTGTCAGAGGCGGTGCGGTTGGCGCAGGATAGAGCAGGGTTTAGGGCTGTTGTGCATAGGGTCGCTATGAGTCGGAAACGACTCGATGGCACATAACAACAACAACAACTCTCATCCTCAACTCTTTTTCTATCTAGCAGTAGCTTCTAGTGGACATGAACTTCCAGAGATGACACTTTTGGTTTACAAGCACATTATTAATGAATTAGATTTTCTCTCTCGTTCTCTTCCTGGCTTATCAGTGCATAGCTACTCTCTGGCTGTGGCCATGGATTCTGCTCCTCTCTGGTGCCTGGTGTAAACTGGCAGATTTCACATTCTAAATTATTATCCCTGTTTTGGTTTAATGAAAGTTGTCTTGGTTAAATTTAAGTCTGGGGCCTTTTTTTCCCCTACTCCACACCCAATGATGTTATCAAATCACCTTCACACCTCTCAGCCTGCCTTCCTCTGAGGTGACTTCATTTTCAGTATAGCTGTCTTCACGAAGGAACCTAAGTGCACACACAGCCCTCCACAGCAGAAAGTTATGGAAATGGATCTCCAGGGGCAGTTACGGGACGGGTGACAGGCTCTGACCAAGTGAACCACCACCAGTCCTGAGGACAGAAGCACCACCAGCCATGTGGACTGAGCTGGGGATAAAAGGCAGGAGTAAAGGGAAATAGGTGTTGGGAGATAAGCCAAAGTGTGAACAGCTTCTGATTTTCCCAGTAAGAAATAATGCCTAGGAAGTAGAGGCCTTTTTGTCTTTCCCACATTTCAGGGCATCTTGGAGCCCAGTAACAAACCCCCACACACACATCCTACACTGTGTCTGTGCCCACTTTGGGATCTAGGGCTGTCGCCTCTCACATCAGTCCTGTAAACTGGACCTCTTAGCCAGCAGGGCTCTGTCTCTGAATGCAGTCCTGCTAGGATTTTTTAGAGGGAGCTCTGGTGGTACAGTGATAAGGTGTTGCACCTACAGGCCAGGGTTGGAATCTATCAGCTACTTTGTGGAAGAAAGATAGGCACTCTCCTCCTGTGTGAGCCTCTGAAAAACCCCTGGAGGGCGATTTCCTACTGGATGGTGAGCAACGACAGGATTTTTTTAAAGACAAGGATGACAAAACTTCATCTCACGTATCTTGGGCAGCTGTCAGAGAAACCAATCCTTAAAAAAAGACATCAAAATACTCTGAAAACCCACTGGAATATTAGCTACAAGTCAGTTTCAACCTGATGACACACAACAATAACTAGGAAATGTGGAAGGTCAGAGAAGAGAGAAAGACCCCTAACAAGATGGTTTGGCACAGTGACTATAACAATGGGCTTGAGCATATCAGAGATTGTGAGGATGGCACCAGATAAGGCAAAGTTCAGATTTGTTGTTCAC